TATATATATATTTCACAACGTTTCGGTCCAAATTCGGACCCTCTTCAATTGAACTCTTTCACAAGCATTCGACAGGCAATTCGTGACACTGTACCCGCAAGTCAGAAATCGAAGACTAGGCAGAAAAGGAATTCCATTTTTGTATTGCGATCGCTTAAATATTATAAATAACAAAGGACCTATAAAAGTAAAAAATCTTGACTTAGGGGAGAGTGGGCTCCCTTGAGCCACGGGGTCCAATGTGACAGTGCGAGTTTTCTGTATTAACGTTCTGCAAAATAGTCACAGTGGGTATGAAAACTTTTGTTTTCAAAATATATAACTTCCATAAAAAAATTATGCCGAAATAAGCATGTATACTTTAGTTAAAGACAGATAAGTAATTGGAGCCTTGCAAAGTAAATTTTTACTTGTCATAACTTTTTGATATGTATGGATTTCTAGAGATTCTACAGTTAGAAAAAAATTCATAAGACGTTCGTCGGAATCTAGGTTCAATACCAACGTGCGCACAAAAACGTTTAATTGTCCTGTATCTGAAATATTTACGATAAATAATATCGATGTTTAGTGGGGTCCAATGTGACGCAGGTTGATGGGGTCCTCTGTGCCACGCTTACAGAACTACCTAACCTAGGTACGTGACAGCGCGAGTTTCCGTAGTGTGTTTCGATCGCGGAATAGTAAATGTTAGTGCCTAAATTTTCCTATAAAATGAAATAATTTTCATCGATAATCATATCCACACTTTCATTTTCTCTTTTTTTTACCCTTTACTTACAGATCACATGTAATCGAGTCGCTGTGAGGCAATATTTGTTTATCTCTGCTAGGTTACGATAAAAAGTAAGGTTATATAGGACTTTGTTTTCAGTTTTCAATTTCTTAGGTCATCTGATGAAACAAATATGACATGATTATTGATAAATTGGTTCTCTAGCACTTGATTTTCCTTTTTTGTAGAGAGAGTAGTTAATAATAAACTACGTTGAAAAACATGCCGCGACAGAGAAAGAAGAAAACGGACCGGCAGACTGTTGATGCCGGTACGATGGAGCTGGGGATTCGCAAAATTGTCGATGATGAGTGGAGTATTCGAGCTGCAGCAGAGAGCTTGGGCATAAACCGAACAACTTTATATCGCTATGTCAAAAAGTATAAGGAGACTGCACCGGAGGAGCGTAGATGCATGAGACTCACACCAAACTATGCAACAAAAGTGGTCTTCTCACCTATTCTCGAAGAAAGTCTGAAAGAATACCTAATGACTGCATCCCAAATGCATCATGGATTAACTCGCAAGCAAGTTATGCAATTAGCATACCAGCTAGCTGTTGCGAACAAGCTTGATTGCCCACGGAATTGGCAAGAAAAACAGTCTGCCGGTGTCGACTGGTATTATGGGTTTATGAAAAGGCATTCTGAGCTTTCGCTAAGGAAACCCGAAGGAACTAGCTTAGCTCGTTCCACTAGTTTCAATCGTACTTCGGTTAACGCTTTTTTCGATAACTTAGAGTCCGCGTATAAACAGCTCGGAGCTGAATTATCGCCCGCTGCAATCTATAACTTAGATGAAACTGCTCTGTCGACGGTTCACAATCCACCCAATGTTATCGCTCCTAAAGGACAAAAACAAATAGGCCAAGTAACATCGGGTGAGCGGGGAACTTTGGTTACGGCGTGCGGTATTATTTCGGCTAACGGAAACTCGATTCCTCCTTATATGGTATTTCCGCGCGTACATTTCAAACAGCACATGTTGAAAGGGGCTCCGTCGGGCTCTAGCGGGGGAGCATCCAAAAGCGGTTGGATGAATGGCCAATTGTTTGTTGAAGTTTTGGAGCATTTTCAAAAATACGCGCGTGCGTCTATAGAGAAAAAGGTTCTACTCATTCTTGATAACCACGAATCGCATGTCACCATAACGAGCTTAGATTTCTGTAAACAAAATGGAATCATCCTTCTGACTCTGCCTCCGCATACCTCTAACAAACTACAACCACTTGACCGTACCGTTTATAAGTCCTTGAAAAGTGCTTTTAACGCGGCTTGTAACGAGTGGATGATCAATAATCCGGGCAAAATGATTTCTATTTATGAAGTGGCGGAACTTTTTGGAATTGCTTATCCTTCGGCTTTCACACCTGCTAATATTAAGAAAGGATTTGAATCGACCGGTATTTGGAAATTAAATCGAAATGTATTCAAAGACTTCGACTTTCTGTGCTCTTCTGTCACGGATAGGTCCGATCCTACGGTTGCTGATACTGCGTCGGAAAATACCGATCTTTCTTCGAACAGGAATATTGATCCTAATCTCAATGTTATCGAATTGCCTAACGACGTCATTGTATTAAATACTTCAATGGAGCCGATCGACCTTAATTTACCAACCATGTCGCTTGATGTTAGTGACGTCTTGGTACTAAACCCGGAAGTCCCTATGCCTTGCGAAGTTAGACCAGGCGCAATTGATAGCGTAAAAGCTGGTAACAAAGAGAACCTCGTTTTACCTCAGGATATACAGCCGTTTCCGAAAGCTGCACCACGAAAGAGTGTTAACAGAAAGAGAGTCCGTAGTGCAATATTAACAGACAGCCCTGTTAAGAACTCTCTATGTGAAGAGATAAATGCCAGAGTCATAAAAAAAGAATTAATCGAGGAGAATAAGCGTAAAAGGAGTGCGGCGCTCGCTCCGAAATCTAAGACTAAGCCTAAGACTGCATCGAAAAGAAAGACGACCCGAAAAACTGCTGCTAAGCAGCAATAAAACTAAGTGCAATACGTCTTGAAATGCAATACGTCTTAGATTATATGTCTAGTCGCATAAAACAGATGTTAGGTATATTATAATAATATATTGCCGATTACTATGTTGGATTTTATGTATAGATTTTATGTATGGATTTTATGATATACTATAATATGTAATAACGTGCAATTGACCAAAGATCTGTAATAAACAGGATTTAAACAGATCTCTTCTACATGTCACAGAGTACCCTACCTTTCACATTACATATCACAGGGTACCCTACCTTTCACATTACATGTCACAGTGTACCCTACGCTGTGGCTCAATCGACCCCACGCGTGGGGTCCACTGTGACAAACGCAGCATTTCGAAATATCATTATTTTTGCAAAATATTTCTGACAATTTACTTCTTAAATCATTTACAAACAAAGTTTATTATATTAAACATTGAATAGTCCCATTTATATTCTAATGAAGTTATTAAAAACCATTTTTAATGTCATTTGAAAAAACGTAGTTCAAGGGTGCCCACTCTCCCCTACATGATTTGTGCGTTGTCAGTAAAATATAATAATGTCAGTGTTAGTAAAATATAGTGTAAAAAATAATAAGAAGTCGAAGTAGTATAAAATTAAATGTGTATATATAGAGCGTGTTTAGGAAGCACGTTTGTATATCCCGATTGCAAAAAAAATAAATGTAAAAAATGTAAGATAAATAAATAAATAAATAAATAAACATATATTTTTACATTTATTTTTTTTTGTCTTTTTGCTTTATATTTTTTTAATCTGTCGCTAAAAAGGTTTTGTAATAATAATATAGTAACAATTTTTATATTGTTACAATAAAAGGAAAATATTATGCAATTACTCTTGTATTAGTAAATTCTGGGCTTCAGGATCAATGGTCCTTACTTTTTTTGTCGACAAGTTTCTCAGACAAGTAATTAATGGATCTGAAGAAATTAATAATTTATGCATAATATCTTCGTTTGTTAGTAAGCGAGAACATTTTCTTGTATTGTAAAGACGAAAACGTTTGAAATCTTTATTTCGAGCTTCTGCGGCTTCCTCCGATAACCGTCCAATTGCAAGATGAAAATATCGAATAAGATATATATATATATATA